AACACGATGTTTTAAAAATTGTCCTTCGAAGGAGCATTGCCTTCCATGGTGCAGCCACCTTATATCCACAACAAGTCTTGCGAGGAAGAAAACTTCTAGTAAATCGCGCATTTACGGTGTACCGCCATGCATCCAGATGGTATGGATAGTACCGTGAGTTTTGTTACGATGTTGCCGGTACAACAAACGAACGCCGCTACCCAGTCCTGAGGAGTTTTTTTTGTATGATTGGGTGACAACAGCACACAGACCACCTGATTCTAAGTGGTTGCTGTCGCCCATAGATATCTACATCTATCCTCGATTACGAATCAAAATGCAGATGCGTTTCCACCCGTGAGGACTAAGATGGAATGCCTTGTTTCCAGTAAAAAGCGTCTCCAGTTCTCTACACTCACCATACAAAACACATCAGCATTAAGCCACTATTTTACGCTGGTATTCAGTGAGAGCGTGGTCCTTCCCCGGTCAAGCCGACCTATTCATGCTACAACTATACTACTAATATAACTGTAGCATGGCTCTACCACGTAGAAATTGCTAGGAAGCTGGGGATCACACTGCTGGAGGTACTCCCGAAAGACCCAAATACGATTCCCCAGAGTCGCCCTAGAGCAGTAACAATACAAGAGGCCGGGTGGGCCACTGTTAGAAGAAAGAGTATGCAATCAGAAACCCCCACCCCACCCGCTACACCATTGCAAATGGTGGAACCCGTCGAAACCAGTACAACCATCGGGGCGACTCTCCAGTCCCCCGCTAATAACGCCACAGAGCGTCAGCACTCCAAGAAGAGGAAGCGAGGGAGGAAGAAGAAGCAGTCGTTGCCTCCTCTTCAGGCTGTAACCTCTACCCCTACCCCAACAACGGCAGTACCGATAGCCTCGTAGGCGCAGGTTACTGGAGGAGCAATGAAGACGTGGTTGAGCGCCAGAAAGGGCCCGTAAAATCAGAAAATAGAGCCCGCTCTACACATAGAGTGCGCTCTAATAAAAAAAAGAGCATACCATCAACGCCCCAAAACCAGTACCTTCATCTATATACAGACAACCACCACCAGCCGGCTACGAGACAGCTCATGCCATCCAAACATTGGTAGGCATAGTTATCGAGGTTGGCACTCTAGTCCTGGCCGATATCCGGGCCTGCTGGCATCACTACTGGCACGTCACTATGGAAGATACCTGCGCTTCCTCTATTGGAACCCGGATGGGATACAGTAGAGGATCCATCAACTCCGTACAGTCGCCCAAAAACAGGACATCCAAGTGATCTTGCTGGGAGAGATAAAACTAAAACCAACAACGCATCTAAAACTGCCATATTACCATATCTACAGGCGGGACGAAGTCAATCATTGAGGGATTACCGGTAGGTGTAGAGGGACGGCGATTCTAGTGTGGAGAGACATCGTCCTGTCAGTTGGACCTGCCAGATTTTCGATGCGCTTTATCGGCATAAAAATGGAGGCGGCAGGCGAGGAATTAAGGATCTTTGCAGCATACCGCCCACCAGAAACTCCATTTTACTCCTCAGACGGACGGTAAGGGAAGGCATGACGCCCACCATCATCGCTGGAGACCTAAACGCTAAACACCCGGCGTGGGGGTCTAGACTGATCAACCCGCCGGGTCGTGAACTCTACGAAGACGCTGAAAACAACAATTATGACGTTTTAGGTCCCGAAAAACCAACACATGTTCCTAAAATCCACGAAATCGGGATGTAGGACATCGTGCTCTCTAGGAACGTCAACTGCCCGATATTGGTAGAGGTGCTGTACGACCTGAACTCACAACACCTCCCGATTCTGATTACCCTTGGCACCAAGGCGGTGACTACGCCACCCAGAGCTTTTAAGACCAAGATTGATTGGAGGCTCTACCACCAACACCTCCCGGAGAGACCTCCAGAACATATGCCAATCAACTCAGCGGACGACGTAGAGGTTGCTGCAACTAGAATTTCCAAGAGCATCCAGGAGGGCTTCCACGCGGCCTCTACGATCGTCCCTCTCTCTGGAATGAAAAATGAGCTGCCGCGAGAGATACGCGTGCAGCTAAAGCATAAAAGAGCGCTAAGAAATTTATGGACGCGCACCCGCCGCCCCAGACTCAAAACCAAACTAAACCAGCTAACGGACGAATAGTCGGTTGCAATACCGGCTCACAGAGGAGAGGCCTGGGAGCGGCGCATCTGGAAAGCGTGCGTCGCTTTACCAATTGAACCGGCAGTTAACGAAAACTCGCCCTTCCGTTTGCCAGCTGACCAACAACGCGGGCGAGTGATGTTATGATGCCAAGGGTAGAGCGAATATTCTAGCAGAGCACTTAGAGGAGCAATTTATGTCGAACCCAGCAAGTGCGGAGTTCATGGAGCTTCGTGCCTGGAAGGAGAGCCGCGTACAGGAGTTCCTGTCGTCGCCTGCGCCACCGCTTGCAAGAGAGTGGTTCATCTCCCCCGCTGAACTGCGGAGGACAGTAATCTGCCTGCAACCCAGAAAGGCGTTGAGGCACAATGGGTTAACCAACACTGCATTCTGCCAGCTGCCCAACGGAGTCCTTGTAGAGATTGTTACAATCCCATATTGCAGAGATCCCACTTTCCGGAGGACTGGAAGAAAGGTAAAGTTATCGTCTTGCCAAAACCCGGGAAGGACAGGCGTAGAGCTGCCAGCTAGCTAAACTACTTGAAAGACTGTTGCTAAGCCGCGTCCGCCCGTGTATTCAACATCGGGCAGAGCAACACGGATTCAGGAGCGATCACTTAACAGAAATACAGCTGACTAGAGTGCTGCACCTCCTTGCGGTCGAGCGCAACCGCGGCCGCACATCGTTGGGCTTTCTCTACATAGAGAAGGCGTTCGACAGGATATGGCACTCTGGATTATTCTACAAGTTAGAAGACCAAACAAGTATCTCTCCTGCTATGTAGCAGTTAGTAGGGTCATTCCTCGCAGCTAGGAGGTTCTACGTCTGTGCAGAGGACGCCGACTCCGCAACAATACCTTTTAGAGCCGGCGTACCAAAGAGCAGCTATTTGTCTCCAGTCCTGTACGCGGCTTCCACCAACGATATCCCTACACTGGGAGGACGACGTAGAGCTGGCGCAATATGCGTACGATAGCGCCTACTTCATCTCGTCTAGTAAAGCCCACATCGCCACTATCAGGATGCAGCGTCTGCTGGACCTGCCACCATGGCTGGATGAGTGGAGCATGGCCGTCAACGTCGGTAACACGACCGCTCTGCTCACTCGCCGCTTCAGAAGATTTCCACCACCACTCACGCTCAGAGGCCAGGAGATCGCGTACGAAAAGGCCGTGACCTACCTTGGGTGCCGGATCGACAGGGTGCTGCGCATGACCGCGCACGTCAACTTCGTCGTCCGCAAAGCCATATGTGCACGGGCGATGCTCTGTCCAGTCCTGCCATCCAAGTTGCTAACAAGACCTAAAACCACTATCTACAAAATGTACATAAGACCGTTACTATCATATGCTGCTCCGGCCTGGTACGCGCTTCTGAGCGATTGACAGAGGCGGCGACTGCAGGTTCAGCAGAACTTGTCATTACGGACCATTGTCGGTGCGGGTCGCTACGTCTGGAACGACGTTATAGCGGCCAACCTAAGAATGGAAACCATGGAAGAATTTGTGGTCCGGCTGGCGCGCGGTATGTTCAACCACGCTGACAACGGGCCACATCCTCACCTCAACAACATCGCGACACTAAATACACGGCCGCCGGACGGGCGACCCTATACAAGAGAACTCCTCTCTATATAGATTAGAGAGTCGAGTAAAACCCACAAGCCGCAGAAAGACCAACTTAGGCTAACTAGATTACCTCCTTTTATTATGTATTACCCAACTGCGGCTAACCGCCACCATTCACTTGACATCGCCTTATATAAGGTACCCAGGACCGGCCCATTGTAGTGAGCTGTGAGGAAAGCCCGGGTAAAGGGGTATACCCCGAGGCCCGAAACCTGCTGGGCATTAGCCCACGCAGACGACAACACGCCAAGCTTGCAGTTAGTAGGAACATCAACTGCCCGATAGTGATTGAGGTGCTATACTACCTGAACACACAGTACCTCCCGATACTGCCTCAGGGCAGTGACTTTGCTGCCCAGAGCTTTTAAAAACAAAATCGACTGGGGGCGCTACCAACAATATCTACAGGAGAGACCTCCAGCTTATACCGGACAGCATATAGCGGACGACGTGGAGGACGCTGCCACTAGAATAACAAAAACCATCCAAGAAGTTCTCAACATGGCCTCTACTGTCGTCCCTCTAAAGCACAGTGGAGACGAGTTACCACGTGCGTGTGCACGACTGTGACATTGGTTTTTTTTTAAGGACCCGAAACAATTACTTGTATACCATACAAGTACTTGTTCCGAGCGGCATTCAAACCCGCGGCCCTTAGCAACTCATTGCTAACCCACTGCGCCACGGAGCCGTCAACCACGTTTCGATTACTGTAGACCGTGATGTCAAAAGAGATGTGTTGACATTTATAGGTGTGAATTGACATGTTAGAATTGACGTGTAGCCACACGGGCTCCGCCCACTCCCCCGTTCTATTGTGTATGTATTATATAGTATTCTATGATACCCCAGGCCGGTATGTCACCCTATCCTTTTCTATATATCTTAGACCTTGAAATTTCTATGACTAATGGATTGCTGAATATAAGTTTTTTCGAGAATTTTCCTACTGGTGTTACCACCTTGCAATAATGCAAGCACCTTGAAAATTTGTCCATCATATTATGTTGGACAGTTGTGTTTGCGAGCTTAGAAACGACACCCTTTTAGTAAAGATAACTACTTTATATCACCAGTATATGTTAATAAAATACAAGCAGCTGTTAAATCTTGTTTATTATAAATATACAAATAGCATGAAAATATTATTATTGTTTTATAGATTTGCAATTATTTTTATTCGCTGTTAAACGAAGAATTCTTTAAAAACCAATTTTTATAATCACAACCTATCTATCATATTTGAGGGAATTTGAAATTCAGGTGGCACTGTGCTTTCGCATAATAACGCTGATTTAGCTGCTTCGAATCCTAAAGATACGCAATATGGTTCGGAATAACCCAATAAAACACCATGAACAAACCCACTGGCAAAACAGTCACCCGCACCGGATACATTATCAACATTGTTCAATTTATGTACCGTGTAACTGCGTACTTCGAGAATTTTGTTATGAGTTTCATTTTTATTATTAATATTTTTTGTAACTGTTATAACTCCTTTATCCCCCATCGTCACAATAAGAACTTCAACAAACTGTGACACAATTTTACATAACAAAGTTATTTCCTTAACGTCATGTGTTTTTTCGACCAAAGTATTAGGTTCCAGAAATTTCGCCATTGACCTCAATTCTGAAATATTAGGAGAGGCATACTTAATTCTATATTGTTTTGATTGTAGTGGTTTCATAGCCTTTCTTCTGTCGGTGGGTTCAAAAAATACTGAAACAATAAAAATAATAAACTTAAAATTATTTTATAAGTAATTTTAACATACAACTATTCATCATCGAATAAAAATGATACGACTTTTATTTTTAGATACCCTAAGATTAAGAACAAATTACACATTTTGACGGGTTCTGACTATATGCTAAACTTGGACAAAACGTGGGTGTGCAGCTTCTGTTCTCTAGAGGACAAAGTCGTTATTAAAATAGTTAAGGTTAGTCGGGGCCAGTGTCCCTACGGGGCAAGTGCGACGGAACTCAAAATCTCATAAACTAATGCAGTATTTGGAAAACGCGAAATAACCTGTCCTTCCACAACAAATTTTAATGTGGAAGTAAAAGTTAAGATGTCGTCATTGGGCCTAGTACGATGTGAGTCGCCGTTTTGTTTTGACCATTATTTTCTCGTGGAGTTCACGTTGACAAAAGCTGTGCATATCAGCAAGTACGAATCTCATGAAAAACGACTACCGAGTGATATGAACCAGGTGACTTCTGTAAACATTATTCTTTATAAACCTGTATATATTTTGTTTCTACCTCACAAGTAATTAACTTTAGCATTGCTTGTATTTTTTTTAACCTAAAACAAACAACGTGAGGTAAGTGCGCCACTAGTAATGGGGTAAGTGCGCCACTATAATGCACTTACCCCGAACCTGAAGTTGAAAACATTTTAAGAAAGTAAGTGGTTAATACCTACCTATACCAGGCCTCTATCACTCTTGCTACCTGCGTGAAATAATTACCTAAAATCGCGACGCGCCCGGGCGAAATAACGCAGTCAGGGCTGGCGCGTTGGTGGCGATCGAATGTTAAAATTTTTTGCCGCTGTTTACGTAAATAGTTTTATGTAAATAGTTGTTGAAATAGTTTTTGTTTAGTGTTTAGTATATTTAATTGTAGGTAAAAATAGTTGTAAAAGTTTTAATGTATTTTAAAAATTATATAGGTATTATGTATATTACCTATTTGATAAATTGTAATAGCAAAACGTCGTGCCTACTATAACTGTTGCTTAGATGGATACTAAATTAAATGACCAACAAAATGCTTCATATCATTCTTTAAGTTACTGAAGAATTTTAGAAGGAAGTTATGAAAGGTTAAAAATTTTTTTTTTTTTTGTTAGATAGGTACTCACAGCAAAAAAGAATTAAGTAATAATTTGGTCTACAGAAGAAATACCTAAGTACTTCATTACAACAATTAGTTAAAATTTACTTCACTATCCAAGTATTTACTTACATACCTATACTTGTCTTTTGTAATTAAAGTATTTTGAGTTATAATAACACAAAATACTGAAATTAAAACTTTGTATACTAACAAGATTTTTAACTAAATAGAATAGATCACATTTCTGTTAGAAATCGTATTTCAGGTTTATTTGTTGTTTACACTATCTACCTATTTCTCCCAAGCGTTACGATTCTCGACGAATGACCTTGCAATTTGCATGCGTTAGGCATCGCAGAACTCACATGTGGGCGAAAGTATGGTTCAATCATAGTCAGAATATTAGTTAGTACTTCACCTAAGTAACATAATTAACATTTCGCAATGTATTTTTTTACTTTCTATTGACATCCCTTAATAACCACGGAAAGTCCGCCGTGACAAAAAAGATGCAAAGTAATATGGACACTAGCGCGCAGCGATAAAGTTTTATTTAGCTTGCGTGTGCGATTTATCTGATTAAGTAATAATAATGTAGGCTATTAAACGTCGGTAAGCAGTCGACATCAAAGGAGTGCAACTTCTGTACGTAGTACTATTATTTATTCTGTGCCTCTTACGAATATAACTGGGTAGGTAGGAATATAAATAAGTGGACAGGTATTTATTTCTTTATTTATTAAAATTTATACAATTTAAATTATTACATAGGCGGACTGAATGCCTTCGGCATTTTCTGCCAGTCATTTATACATCTTCTAAATATAAAAAAGCGAAATACCACTAAAGGCTACGAACTGAAATTTGGAGATGATGCCAAATTTCAAGTTGGTAGCCTTTACCTTCCTTCGCAAAATTCGCCTTCACCCTATAAAGTGTAGACATCCGCTAAGAATTTTCGGAAATTCTTCACATAAGGGGAGCAAAACAGGTTATGAAAGTTATTAAAGTTCATATAACACATTCTTACATTCCAAAGAGAGAAAGCTATTAAGTGGAATAAGTAAATAAGAGATTTACTAAATACTATTTTAATGAAGGAATTATTAGATAAATGTTAATATTTAAAAGATAAATGATAAGCTTTTTGAGACTGATTTAATTTGCTTTACTTAAGGCTGAGATTTTGTTAACTTTATATAAACAATAAGTGCACCCGCTACTTTAAAAAGACAATAAAATACGTTTTAAGTGCCTTAAATAATTTTTTATTCTTTTGTACTCACTAAAGTCTTTTCTCTCTTGTGTGTAAAATCATAAATATTACAATTTTATTGAATACCATTTTCCGTTTAAAAAATATTCAGTACCCCTGAAAACAAACGTATGGCGCACTTACCCCAAAGTTTGTGTTTTAGCAATAATAGTCTTATTTTAGGGGTACTAAATATCTGATTGAATAAATTGTTTCTGCTCATACGCTTTCGTTTGAAAAATATACCCTATTCTAGTAATAACATAATAATAACTATTTATTAAGTCTAGCCGCAATTATCCCTGTTCCAAGAAGTGTCTAAACGACCAGTTTTGTTCAAATACGTAAAAACTTATCAAAACGTAATTTATATTGCTCGACGAAATGATAATTTACAACTAAAGAAACAAAGCATCAAACACAAAACAAAAAAACAAAACTCAAATCGCGCATGGAGAATGTCAATGGTGGCGTTCGCTGTGTGGCACGTAGCGCTGTCCTGCTGGAACCACATGTCGTCTATGTCCATATGGTTCAACTTGGGCCATAAGAAATTTGGTTATCATCGTTGACGATGACCGCCTCACCAGCATCGTTTTCGAAAAAGTACGGACCAATGACGCCGCCAGCCCAAAATCCACACCAAACGGTAACTTTTTGAGGATTCATTATCACATGGTGAACCTCGCGTGGGTTGGTGTCGTTCCATATATGGAAATTCTGCTTGCTAACACAACCACTAATTCAAAAATGCGCCTCGTCGCTAAAGATGTTTTTTCGGTCAAAATTGGGATCTCTTTTAGACGATTCGAAGCCCACTCAGCGAACAAACAGCGTTGTCTATGGTCATGAACTTTAAGCTTATGGGTCAATGGGATCTTGTACGGGTGTAGGCCTAAGTACCGACCCAAAATTCGCCAATTTGAAGTCTGCGAAAGGCCGAGTTCTTGTGCACGGCGAAGTATCGACTGTCTCGGGTTCTGCTGTACACTTTCACGTACCGCGACGATGTTCTCGGCTGATCTAGCGTTCCTTGATCGTACGAGTGTTGACTGATTGTTTACCGAACCGGTTATTTCAAAGTTGGCCACCAAACGTAGAATAGTCGACTGTGAAGTGTTCAATAGTGTAACATAGTAATTTGGCATTATTAACTGAATAATCAACAAAAGATTTGATAGATGTCATCAAAACAAAATGACCGCCACGGGCCTCCAAAATCTACCCGCGCCTATTGAAAAACCCTATATATAGTATATATAAAGGAAGTGCACTATAATTAGTTCTACTTATACTTCAATTTTATTTTATATATTGATAAAGGAGGATAGCCATTATTTTATTTATTTGCATTTTTACGTACTTGCGGAATATTTAACCGACCGCTGCGATAGCAAAGACAGGGTTAAGCTTTTCACACATTAGATGAGCGAGAAAAGCTTAAGTCGCCTAAGTAAGCTTGGTCGCCTTGGTCAGTTAGAGTCATCAGTTAAAGTGATATCAGTTCAAACTGATTTAGGAGTTTTATAAATCGTGAGTTGATATATAGTAAGTCAATATCGGAGCATTACATATCGAAAAAAATATCGATATATTGGCTTTATTAAAAAAATAATCTTAAGTAATTTAGTTTAGTTCATTGAATATATTAATTAAGCAATTTAAATTATTAATGTACGAAAATGTTAGATTATAGTTCTTATTAATTATTGTTTAATATAAATAAGACGATTATGTTTACCAATATTTTTAGTAAGAGTTTTTAAAAATACTCGGTGTTTAATATTTTCAGCTGTTTTATATGTTAAGAAGCATATATGCTACAGATGTAACAGAAGAAATCAAATATTTAACAGCTATTTCTGATAGAACGGGAGTAAATTGTCTACCCAGCGGACAGTCGAAGACGACAGTAACTCAAGTTCATAAGATGCCTAAGCGATCAAAATAACTTGAGGTTTGTACTAACTACGATGCAATTTTATGTCGTTTTTTCTATTAGTTCATAAGCGCAGACACTTAATACACAAAATCGCATCACCTTCAAGTATCAAAATCCACTTCAAATCATTATTTAAACGATAAAACAAGAGTAACAATCCGTCGACGGTAAAATTCCCGCTAAACACACAGTAAGTAAAGTTGTACTAAGTTTCGTAGATTATAGTAATTTTAATACCACAGAGATATACTATACAAAATTACATTTCCTTTTAAGATAATAAGCAAATTAAAAAACTGGGGAAAAATTAAAAGCATAATATAGTGTATATAAATAAAGTACAGTAGGTTGGGTAGTAGTAGTTTAAATGATTTATGAAAAAAAAAATTAAACTTTTTACTGAAAAAAATATCGACTGTCGATATTTGCTTTGCCCACCGCGCGACCATCGCATTGCTGCGTCATCGAGCAAACGCTGTCTGTACGGGACAGTACAAAAATGATAAAATAAATAAAAGACTAGAATTAATAAAATGATTATTTCATTTGTTTAATAATTAAATATGTTGAGGTTT